TGCTCTCGCCTCCCCATCGTCCGCGTCACCTCAAACGGAACGGGCGCCGCACCGCCGCCCTCGCCGCCCTCGCCGCCCCCGCCTTCGCCGTCCCCACCTTGCAGCACGCCGCCGCTCACCTCGCCTCGCAAGCTCACCACCGCCCGCGACGCCCCCTCGCTAATCACACCCCTCGCCTCGACGGGCTTGCCGTTGGCGCGCGCGTCTGTGCTGCCCGTCAGCGCCCACAACGGCGCCATCGCCAGCGTGGTCTTGCCCGCGCCGTTGCTCGACCCTTGGCCCTCGCCGCCAGCATCACCCTCGGGGAGGGCCTCGCCGCTGGCCTCGCCGCCGCCGCCGCCTCCCGCCGCCGCGCAAGCGCCCTGGAGCAGCAGCAGGCCTCGCCCGCGCAAGTCGTACTCTGTCGGCCGGTCAAAGGAGCCAAACCCGTCCAGCGTCACGGCGTGCAGCCGCAGCTGCACCGGCGGCGGCAGCTGCAGCCTCGCGTTCGCCGCGCACGCGGAGAGAACCTCGTGCCCGGCGGCGACGAGTGGCTCGCTGAGCCCCCTCGCGGCGGCGTACCGCGCAAACAGCGCCTCGGGCTCGAGAATGTCCGCTGCCCCGGCAGCCGCCGCCGCCGCCCTCGCCGCCGCCGCCGCCGCCTCGCCCCCCTCGGCCGCCTCGGCCGCCTCGATCGAGACCGGACGGCGCAGCTCGACGGCGGCGCCGCGGCGCCGCTGCTGCGCCGCAAACTCGAGCAGCGGCTCGTCGATCTGGTCGGCCAGCAGCAGAGCGCGGTCACCAGACCGCAGGCTCGCGCCGAGGTCCGCGAGCTCCGACCTGCGGGACGTGTCGAGGACGTGTCGAGGATGCGACAGGGCGCGTGCCGGTGCACGTGTGTCGGCGGGCGCCGGGCTGAGCGCGGCGCCGGTCGTGGCGGTGCGAGCGGAGTGGATGTAAGAGAGGCGGAGGCATGGAAGCTGAGGCGAGCTGCCCAGAGGTGCGGGAAAGCAGAGAGGGGCGCATGTCGCGGGGGCGGTGTCGCTCCGACCTGCCCGGCTGCGAGAGCACGTGGTGCCTCCGGCCGATGCTGAGCGGCACCTCCTCCGCCACCCGCCACCCGCGTGCGCTGTCGACCACCAGCAGCGCCTTGCGCTGCCCCGCCTCGGACATCGACGTCTGGTACGGAGAGCCGACGTACCGGATAGCGCGGCCCTTGGCGGCTGGCTCGGGGACGGAGTGCGGGTTGTGGTAGTGGCCCGAAAAGACGCGCACCGGCGGCAGCGGGAAGGCGTCTGCGGTGAGGCCCTGGGTGGCCACGCGCCTATACGCCATTCGCGGCTCGTGAGCAGCGGGCGCCCGTCACCGCACGAAGCCGCCAGCGTCGCCGGGCGGCCGGTCGCTCATCTGCGCGCCGACAATGTCGGCGTGGCAAAAGACGGCGTCGAGGCCTTCGTGGCCGTCAGATGCGGCGTGCTCGCACGCGGCGCGCAGCTCCGCGGCGGTCGTGCCATACGGAGCCCACAACGACGAGCCGAGCCGCGTCACGCGGCTGAAGACGGTGACCGAGCGGGGCAGCGCGAGCTGGAGGGGGGTCAGTGCGTGAAGCAGCGGGTCAGAGTTGCCACGCATGGCCTGGTCGTGGTTTCCCGGGATCATGAGCATCGGCACGTCGTCGCCCCACGACGCGAGCTCCGAGAGCACCGTGTTTAGCTGCCGCGTCGACAGCACCCCACCCGTGTGCCAAAAATCGCCGAGGCAGGCGACGCCGGCGTTGCGGGCGCGCGCCTCGGCCGCCACGCGACGCAGAAGCTCGAGGCAGACCGGCAGCGTGTCCTGCCGCACATGCAGGTCCGAAAAGACGACCCACCTCTGCGGGAGCGCCGCGGCGACGTGCGTGGGCACCACGTCGTAGGACGGCCTCGGCTGCGAGTCGACGGCGAGTGAGGCGCGGGCGGAGGAGGAGCAGCGGTGCAGGTGGTGAGGAAGACGAGGCCGGATTGAGGTGGTGAGCACGTGAGATAGCATCATACACATGTGGTATATCAGCCGGTGAGCTTCCGCGCCAGTCCGCGCCCTTGTGGTGTGTTTTTAAGAAATCTGATCGGCCTTTTGTAGCCGTCCGAGCCAGTCCGCTGTGAGAGGGCTTGGTAAAATTCTTTTCTGCAATACTCGAACTCGAGTCATGCAAACCGCGGGGGCGGCGTGAAGTGCTTGGCCCCACGCCTATGCCTTGTTGGTTGGTTGTCTGGCGCGAAGAAATTTCTGTGCATTGACACCCATTTAACAACACGTTGCAGGCAAAATGGGGGGCCGCGATTTCGGCGTTAGTCGGAGAGGGATTTTCTCCTCTTACTTCTGGCAGCGTGGGCGCCGACCTGCATATTCCACGCTGGCCGCGCATCATCATGCCATGCTGCGCTTCGCGAGCAATCGCGTAACGGGAGTTGTGGCTTTTTGGACGGCTTTTTTGGATTCTCCCGCCCTCCTCCCCTCTTTTGGATTTTTTGTTTGGGATTTTTAGGGATTTTGAGAGAGTTGTTTGTTTGTATTTTGAGTGCAACCACAACAAAGTCAGTCGGCTAAATAAATCAGGCCTCGCTGGCAGATAGATAGCACTACCGTCAATCACGCCCTGCGTGGTGTATGTAGCTGGCTTGACTCGGCAACCGGCACGCGAGCCGACTGCGCGTCCCGAGCCCACGGATCGGCGCCATCGCACAGGCCCGCCAGCCGCCGCATAGCTCCAGAGAGGCAGCTGGCGTTGCGCTGCACTGCTTGAAGGCGCTGCTGAGGCGCTGCACTGCTCAAAGCTGCCCCGTGCGCCGCCGCGAGCACCGCGTAGTGGTCTCGCCCTCTGGAGAGCCCCAGTACGACCCCTCGCGGCCACTCGCGCCGTTGCAGCAGCTCCGACCCCGCCACTCCGGCTCCCGAGCGCGCGGCGAGCACGAGGAAGAGCATGCGCATGGGCCAAAATCCGTTACCCGTGGAAATTCTATTCCCGTTTTCTTAGAGATGGAACCTTCCTAGCTATGCAACGATCCGTCTCGGGAGGACGACCCCGGCTCTAGCCGCCGTGTCTAGCTCTCGCCGCGTGTCCGCCGAGCGCCGCATATATGCTGGTACTCTCCGGCTTCGCCGCCGTCGCCGCTGTCACGCCGCGCGTGGCCGTCTTTGGCGGCAGCGGGTTCATCGGCAGCCGCGTCTGCCAGACGCTGGTCGACGCCGGCTGCGACGTGGTCTCCCTCTCGCGGACGGGCGAGGCGCCTGCCTGGGCGAGCGAGGAGCGGTGGTGCGGCCGCGTGGAGTGGCGGCAGTCCGACCTGCTCAGCGATCGCCATCCGCCACTCGGGCACATCGACGGCGCGGTTTCGTGCGTCGGCAATATGCGACCGTCGCCTCGATGGGAGAGCGGCAGCTTCTTCGGGCTGCACTGGGACTATGAGGCGATGGTGCGTGAGAATGGGCTCGCCACGGACCGCAGCGCCGCCGCCGCCAGGCGCGCCGGCGCCTCCCGCTTCGTCTACCTCTCCGCGAGCTCGGCGCACCAGTTTGCCTAGGCGGCGCGCTGATGGGCTATGTGGACGGCAAGGAGGCGGGCGAGGAGGCGGTGAGGCAACGGTTTGGCGACGCCGCCGCCTGCGCCGTCGGCCCGTCGCTCGTTCTCGGCGGCGGCCGTTACGCCGGCCTGCAGCAGGCCTACCGCGCGCTGGTGGACGTGCCGCTGGTGCGCCCTCTTTGCGCCGCTCCCCCGCCGCTGCCGCGCTCTCCGCTGCCACACTCTCCCTCGGGGCGCTGAATTGCCTGCCACTCTCCGACACTTTCTTCGGGGCTGTCCAGTGTCCGCCACCCGCCTCTTGCCGTCCACGGCGCTCGCAACGCCGAAACACAGGTGCGCGCGCAGACGCGGCTCTTCAAGGCGCTCAAGAGCGGCGTCTCGACCGGCTGGGTGCCGCAGGACGCCGTCGGCGAGGTGGCGCTCACACCGCCAAGTGAGGTGGCCGCTATCGCACCACCAGGCCCGGCGCTGCGCCCGGCGCCAGTGGCACGCGTGCATGACACCACCCCACGGCGCGTCGCAGGTGGGCGAGGTTGCGCGGGCGGTCTGCGCCTGCCTGCTCGGCACCGTGGGCGAGGCGCGCTTCCCCTCGTTGGGGTTGTCGAGGGGTGTCGCTATGTCCGTGACGCGTGGGTACTAGTATGGAGCGTTTCTCAGGCGCGGCTCGCCGCCTTCCGCGAGGAGCAGCGGGCGGAGTACGAGACGCGCGGCACCCCGCCCGTCCGGCTGCAGCCCGCCGTTTGCAGACCACGTCGATGACACGTCCCGCCAATTCGCGCGCGCAGGCATCCTCGCCGACAAGGAGCGGGCCCGCGCGCTCGACTTTTGCTTTATCGACGGCAGCGACCAGATCCGGAGGGTGGCACGCGAGTGCGGCACGCCGTCGCTGCTGGCCGCCGCCGTCGCAGGGGGGGGACTTGCTGCGGCCGGCGGCGAGGTGGTGGCGGCGGAGGCTGAGGCGGAGGCGGAGGCGGAGGCGGAGGCGGAGGCGGAGGCGCGGTGGCAGAGGGTGCCCATTGACATGCGCCCGGTGGACTCGCTGACGTTGGAGAATGCGCCGCTGAGCGCCGCTCTCGCCGCCGAGCCGGCCCTGTGGCGCTCCTTTACCCCCGCCGAGCTGAGCGCCTTTGGCCTCGCCCCGCCCGAGGAGCTGGCCGGCCGCTACATCCGCGTGGGCGAGCCGGGCGCGCAGTTCTGGTACCACCCGTTCGATGTCGAGGCGGCGCAGTCGCCCTCGGCGCACGGCGCGCCAAATGAGGGCGCTCTCTACGGCTTCCGTCCCCTTCTCTACCCGTGGCCGCCCGCCGCCCTTCTGTTTGGCTCGTTTGCGGCCGCGATCCTTTCATCAGCTAACATAGCATGAGCGTTGTCTCGAGCCGCGGGGAGCCGACGGTTTGAGGCACACCCGTCTGCGGTCTGCCGCGCTCTGGTACAGTTGTCAGAGTTGGCTGAGCATGGGCCATGGCATATAAAGCCGTATGTACACGCTGTGTCACAAAGATTTCGTCCGCGCGGGTGGCAGCCTAGTCCCTAGAGCCGCGACTAGCGCGCACGTGCCGACCGCGACGCCGACGTTCCTCAGCGCCCCGTTCGCGCGGTCGAGCATTCTCAAGACGGAGAGGACGCGGCCACAAGGATTTCCCACGATGCACCGAATGCTCAATGGTGCGGCACGACGGTCAAGGACAAGGTGTGGCACGAAGAACGCTGACGGTGACGCTAGAATTGGATCGTAGACCGCGTGAATGGGGCCAAACAAGTGGCGTGCCAATCCACGCACCACGGTGCACTGGACTGGTTGGGTAGTAGTCTAAGTTCTGACGCCTCGACGCCTAGCGCGTAGCGGGTCTAAGTGTGCACGTGCACGCTGGGGTGCTTGCGCGGTCTAAGATCAGCGGGAGCCGCTTACATCGGCTAAGTCGGCCGTGGACGGCCTGGGGCCAAGAGGCTCCCACCGTGATCCGTGATCGATACAGTACGGCGCTCCGCCCAAATTTTCTTCGCCTGCGGCGGGCGCCTACTAAAATCCGGATCGATCCTCCTCATGCCTCAGCAATCGCCGCTCGGCATCCTCCCCTTCCGATTCTCGTTGCTGCTTCTTGAGCGCAATCTCTAGCCAAACATTTCTCACAAACAGCCTCAAGCTCAAACAAACGCATGTCAGAGAATCCTGTGTATGCTTGTCCTCTTTGAACGATCCGCGCGTGAAGGTAGGAAGCATAGGACCTTGTTGGCAGCATCCAGCTTGTTGCGCTGCTTCGTTGCGATGAGCTGATTGGGATCGCAGAAGTGCATATCCATGCGCCATGCCAAAGCACCGCCACGATCTTGAAGCAGAACACATCGCAACCGCATCGTCCGCACTGCCATCAGCATGCCGCGCCCGCCGCTTCGCCGCAGCCACCTTACGGCACGCATAGCGGCAGCACATGGTACGGTGCGCGTACTTGAGCAGGAATTGCGCGCCGCAAGTAGCGCACTGGCCCTGGGAGAACGCGATATGGCGTCGTGTGCGGCATACGTTGGTCGGGACGCGTCCAGGTATTTTTCGGGTAAACCTGGACTTTTGCAGGTATACCAGGGTTTTACCCGGAGTTTTAGGTTTGTTGTTGGCAAATCAAGACACAGAGCTCACACAGAATCACAGTGGGAGGAAAGCGGCGAGTCGCAATTCCTGGGGTCCTTGTGGCGGGCGGGCCACCCTCACACACAGCAAAACTACGAGCATGGTAACGGGGCTCGTTACGGGCCCGTATACGCCTCACAGCAAAACTACGAGCAGGTAACGGGGCTCGTTACGGGCCGATACCTGCGCGATACCTGCGCGAAGCGGCGTGTTGAGCTGGCCAGACGGGATTGCCACCAGGTCTCGCTTGAGTAGCCTAGCAGCAATAGAGTAAGGGCGTGAGGCAGTGTTGTGTTAGGGTGCCCACAGGACCCAAAAGAAAATAGCTTTCCGGCTCAAAAAGGGACGCACGAGGCAAATCTGATGTTGGAATGTTCCAATAGGAGCGAGGCCTCTTCCGTTGGGGGACCGAGTGACTAGGAAACGAGGGTTCCCCGGATTGTCACGCGCGAGCGCGAGCGTGACACTGCACTTGGCGCCGAGCGCCCGCGGCTCAGACCTTGTGCAGGCCACCCCTCGGTGAGCACGCCGGTCCGGACCGATGGCGCTCGGTGTGGAGCAAGCAAGACACACCCACCCCCCATCGGCGCGCGCCCGCCCTTCAAACGGCCGCCAGGAGCACCAAGAGGACTCCTCATGGCTGTGCTCAAGTGGGCTTCGACCGGCCTCGGCTGGGGGGGCGGGTTGTCCCGGTTGCGGACGCCTTCTGCAGCCCCCTGGGCCCGTGACAGCACCCCAAAACTGCCCCTCGGCAGCATACAGCACTGCCAGCCAGCCTCTTCCTCCTCCTAAGGGCTGTACTATAGGCCATATTGCGCCGCCTCCTACTGGCAGCCGGCGGGCGCGCGCCGCGGGCGCCTCGGCGCGCGCACGGCTCGCAAAGTTCGAACGAGTACTGCCGCCCGGCCGCCTCAAGGCTGCCGGGCGGCAGTACTCGCCTCGCAAGGCGCGCACGGCTGCTCTGGCTGCTGCGCCGGCGGCCGCTGCGCTGGCCGCTGCTGCGCCGGCTGGCGGGCGGCACGGCCGCCGGCGGCCGCTGCACCCGCGCCTTCCCTCGCGGGCGCCGTCGCGCCGCGCGCGCCCAACTCTGCTGGTACACGGCACGCGTCGTCACACAGCCGCGGAGAACAGGCGGTGCTGTGCGTGAAGCGCGCGCGATCTCGTACTTTTAAGGCTGGATCCGGCCATTCCAAGGGCTATACCTTTGAGAATCCCCAGCGTCCCTGCCTCCTAGTCACACTCTCAATATCTCGACTGGCCAACACGAAGTGCTGCGATCTGGGGTCGCCCATTTCTTTTTTCTTTTCCTTTTTTGGGCCCTGTGGGCACCCTAGTTGTGTCCGCGATGTCGCTCGAATGAGGGCGTGGAAAGATGCGTGACCTGGGTACCGAATGCGCTCGTGGCTCGCCTCCGCGCCCGAGCGACAGGCGTGGGGCCTCAGACTGCACCCAGGGCCCGAGCCTCACGGCTGCAACCCTCGGACTCGGGCCGTCACGAGCTAGCCGGCCGCGGCACTTCGAATGGCCCCATGACGTGGCCGGAGGGCTAAATCTATTGTGGAACCAGTCTATTGGCCTCGCGCAGCAAGGGAGCGAAGCACAGCCACCTTACGGTGCAGGTCTCGTCTCCTCCGCGAGCGAGGCGTGGAACAAGAGCGCGTGGGGAGGTCGAGGAGGCGGGCGGCGGCGGTGTGTTTGACAAAGAGGTCGAGGTGACGGGTGGACATCGCGTGGAAAAGAACAAAAAAATTCGCCCGGGCTTGTGCCAGGCGCGCCAGTGCCCGTGCCCAGTGTCGTGGGGAGTATTCTTTTCTTTTTTCCAAAAACAAACCCAAAGCCCCATAGGTGCCCGCGCGCCATTCGAACCCCAAAAACACTCATAAAAAAAAGGAGTGCCCTTTCCTCCTAAAGGGACGAGGAGAGTCAAACAAAACACGTGACTGAAGTGGGATTCGAACCCACGCCCCTTTCGAGACTACGACCTGAACGTAGCGCCTTGGACCGCTCGGCCATCCAGTCAGTTTGCTGTGAAATCGAGCGAGATCGGGCGACTCATATACCGTGAAGAAAAAAATAAAATTTTTTTCGACTCATTTGGTGGGAAGCGAAATAAAAACTTGGTGGGAGGGTGAGGAGATTTGGGTGATGGTATGTGTTGGAGGAGATGGGCTGTATGAGTGTGTGATGGGGGTGAGAGGGGATGGGGTGGTGATGGTAAGAGGGGAAATGGGAGGATGAGATGGAATATAATGGAGGGGAAGATAAGGATGGTGATGGAGTGGTGTGTGGAGAGGGGAATGGGATAATGGTTGTGGAAGGATTTGGGTGTGGGTGATTGTTTAGTTGATTGATGTGATGGATTGGTGGTTTTGAGTTAATTTTAAAATTTTTATTTTCGACGGATTACAGGCATGCGATTGCATGATTAAAAAGGCTTGTAGGTTGGATGTTGGTGCGCTTCTCGTGGACGTGGTTCCTCACACATAGCTCATAGGGTGGTGCAGCTGCTCGTCAGCATCCTCCATCCCACTTGGTGGGAAGCGAAATAAATGGGCAGAGAAAGAGACAGAGAGAGTTTTGTTGAATGGGCAGCGGCTGTCCCAGTTCGATTCGATGTCCTCGAGAGTAAGTGCGCTGCGGGGGCGGGCTTCACCCGTCACTGCCAACCGTGAGTCACACTGCCTACTCTGGAGGCGCCCAAAAAGTTACTGATTGGGTGAGGAGATTGGGTGATGGTTTGAATGGGGGGAGATGGGTTGTGTTTGTGTGTGATGGGTTTGCGAGGGGATGGGGTGGTGATGGTAAGAGGGGAAATGGGAGGATGAGATGGAATATAATGGAGGGGAAGATGGGGATGGTGATGGAGTGGTGTGTGGAGAGGGGAATGGGATAGTGGTTGTGGAAGGATTTGGGGGTGTGGGTGACTGTCTAGTTGATTGAGATTGGTGGTGGTTTTTGTTGAGTTCAAAATTTTGATTTTCGACGGACCATTGTTGGTCTTTAAATCTCTCTCAGGCACGCGATTGCATGACCAAAAAGGCTTGCAGGTTGGACGTTGGTGCGCTTCTCGTGGACGTGGTTCCTCACACATAGCTCATAGGGTGGTGCAGCTGCTCGTCAGCATCCTCCATCCCACTTGGGGGGAGAGAGATTTTTGTTCACTTGGTGGGAAGCGAAATAAATGGGCAGAAAGAGACAGAGAGAGTTTTGTTGAATGGGCAGCGGCTGACCCAGATGGATTCGATGTCCTCGAGAGTAAGTGCGCTGCGGGGGCGGGCTTCACCCGTCACTGCCAACCGTGAGTCACACTGCCAACTCTCGAGGCGCCCAAAAAGAAATCATCCGCGCTTGCGGCGCAGCACATGTCCGCCAGCACCTTCTCGAACTGGGCGAATCTGGTCGATGCTTGCCAGGACTACGCTCAAAGGTCGGGCTGGCGCTTCAACCGCGTAGAGTTCATGCGGCTCGATGGGCCGCAGCCCAACGCGGCGCTGCACGAGGCGCGGCTGCGTGCGATGCCGGCCGTGCTCGAGTACGGGCAGCGGCTGCAGTCGGCGGCGGAGGTTGGCTCGTCAGAGTCGGAGCTGCTGCAAGAGTTCCTCTGCTGCCAGAAGCTGGTCTCCTCCGAGGCTGTCCTCAACGCCATCATCTCCATCTGCAAGGCGCTCGAGCTGCCCGGCTTCGACGGCAAGGCGACGGCCGGCCGCGGCAGCGGCAGCGGTTTCGACGTTGCGTAC